TATAAAGAATAAAATATTCAAAAATATAAAAAATAATTATATGTATTTGCAATAAAAATTAAATAATTTAGCAAATTTTAATATTAATATTGTATAAATATTGTTGAAACAATTTATAATGTATATGAGAATCTTTAATTGTAATTTTATTAAGCATAAATAATAATATAATGATATAATTGTGTATAATATTTTATATATTTACTATAAGTAAGAATTAGAAATAAAATAATATATTTATATTTATAATGAATTCATAAACTATTCATAATATATTGCAATATTATTCTATTTATTTCAATTTTATAAACTAAAAAAGGTAAATAAAAAAAATAAATGATATAATTTTAATAATTTATTCATATACAAGTTTTTTTGAACAAATATTTATTTTCAACTCATTTTGTTTTTTCTAGTTTATTCTTTATCTCTGCAACTAATGCTTCTTTAATATGTGCTGCTATTTTTATTTTTGTTTTTTTCTTAACTTTACCAGAATTTTTCTCATTAGTATTTTTTAAAATGTTTGTTTGTGTTTTTTTCTTTTTTTTTAAACAACTAAGAGGATTTGGACCTTTTTTTTTCTTTTTTTTAAATTTTACTTCTGTTTTTTCTATTATTCCAGCTGTTTCTTTTAATATTTTAATATTCTCTTTTTCCCTCTCAGTCATTCCTAGTCCTTTACGAATATTTTCAGCATATTTATGGCTAGCTTGTGAAGGTGCTTCCAATGTTGGTGCTTTACCATGCAAATATATTATTGGAACACCTGGAATTTTTCTTAAACTATTCTGAAGATCTCTATCTTGTGTAGCTATAATATATCTGAAAAATATAATATAATATATATATGTGCATATATATAAATATAATACAAATGTATAATTAACTTTTAATTTTTCCTATAGAAATTATACCTAAATGAGTTATTTTTTCCAATCATAGATTGTAAACATTTTGTACCACTAATTGAGTATTTTTCATGTCCACATTTATGTATAGGATATTGTTTAACAATTTGCATAGCACCATTAACTGCTTTTGAAAATGAACTTAATTTTTCTGTTTCCAAAATTATACATGGTGTAGTTAATAATTTTATATCAGATTGAAAATATTTTGATAATTGATCTTGTATATTAAATTTATTCTAAAAAAAATCAGAAAATAAATATATATGTGTACAAATTAATTTTTATATTAAATATATATATAACTTCTATTCACCAATTTAAATAATAAAAATAAATAAAATTGTTAATTTTAATTAAAGAATATTAAAATATAATATTTGGATACAAACCTCTAAAGCAGCCAAAGCAAATGTACCATCAATAAGAACTTGAAACGGCGATCTAAATTTGAAATTATTAATAAAAAAGCCTAAATTTTTTCTAGCTTTTTTCTGACGAGTTGATTTCATATTAGTATTTCTTTAAAAATATAATATTTTAATATGATATATATCGATATTCTATAACCTCTGAAATATTAAAATATAAAATATTAAAAAATATTATGTAAAAAATTATATATAATATTTTAAAAATAATAAAATATTTAAAATTTTTGACAATTAAATTAAATAAATAAATTTTTCTTTTTAAAAAATACTTTCTTAATTCATTTTTTATTATTTTCACTTATTTTTATTTTTAACGTACAAAATATACGCTCATAAAGATATGTTATAAAAATTATTTCTCAATATGCTATTTGCTAAATAACATAAGAAACATAACCTATTTCAATCAGTAAACGAAAGTGGCAACATCATTCAAAGTGTATCATTTATTAATTTTAAAACTCAAATATTATATCATAATAATACTGGTTTAAAAAAAAAAATATTTTATCTTCTTATAAAAAAATTTCAGAATGTAAATATTTATACAATATTTTCTATTGTTTTAATTTTAATTTTATGTATTCATATGTATTGAAATACATAACCTTATTTTATCATTATTTATTTGATATTTTTAATAAATAAATGTTATTTAAAATCATATTTTTTTATAATAATATTAACATTTTTCTATTTAAATTTCTAATTTTTATTTTATAACTTTTAATTTTTAGGTCTTCTTTAACTAAACCAAAATCTGAAATGACTCCTGAGGAACTAGCAAAAAGAGAAGAAGAAGAATTTAATACTGGACCACTTTCAGTATTAACACAATCTGTAAAAAATAATACACAAGTCTTAATTAATTGTAGAAATAATAAAAAATTATTAGGAAGAGTAAAAGCATTTGATAGGCATTGCAATATGGTTTTAGAAAATGTAAAAGAAATGTGGACTGAACTTCCACGTACTGGAAAAGGGAAAAAAAAGGTAATTAATATATCATTATAAGAATTAAAAATATAATATAAATTAAAGATATAAATTAAAAATATAAATAAATTTTTAACTAGGCAAAACCAGTAAACAAGGATAGATTTATTTCTAAGATGTTTCTAAGAGGTGATTCTGTAATTCTAGTTCTACGGAACCCATTAGCAACAGCATCAGGAAAATAATTTTACAAATAAATTCACTTTAAAATTCTAATCTGTAACTTATTCCTTATAATTATTTACTATAAATGAAAAATAAAAATTTCAAATAAATTTCTTAATAAATTTAAATTATAAATGTATAATTTTTGTATCAACATTTATATCTTGAATTTAATAAAATATGTTCTTTTTTATATTAAAAATATTAAAATAAAATAAAATTAAGCAAGACATGATATTTATTTGTAATGAATTATACATAAAATCATTAATCTTTTTCAGCAATTGCAGTAAGATGCTTATCAATTTCTTGTTCTGTTAAAGTTCTGAAATATAAAATATAAAACATATATATTAGTTATTTATGATGATTATATAAATAAAATAGAAATAAGACCATGATATATTTACCGAAATTTAGGATTATCTTTTGATACCACACCAACTTCTATTTCTGTTGGTTTAAAATCTACTGATAAAACAGTAGATAAACATGTAATTGCTAACTGTATTGTTTCATCATGATCATAATTTTGTTTTTTCTTTAATTTTTTCTCAAGATAAGAATTAGCTTCAGTTTGTTTAGCACCAACAGAAATAGCTCTATAACCACAATAATATCCAGCAGGATCAGCTTTATAAACACAAGGACCTTTTTCTTTATCATATGAAATGAGCATCATAGAGCATCCAAGAGGCCGCATCTCTGCATTTTGTGTATAAACTTGACTGATATCTGCAATACGTTTGCATAATGCATCTACAGGAATTTCATATTCATATTTATATTTAAAATAAGCTGCTTCATATCTTGCACGTTGAACTTGAGATCTGCTATCAGCTAAAATAAAAAATAAACAATATAAAAATACATTTAAAAAAGAAATTGTATATATTTTTTTATTACTAATTATTATTGTAATTTTCTTTTTTAAAATTTTACCTATCATGCCTGTTACAAGGCAACCAATATGTTCAGTAAGTTGAAAAATATGAGTAACACTAGAAGCATCAAGTAATTTATCCTATAAATAATATTTTTAAATTACAAAAGAATAATGATATAATATTACAAAAAACTGTTGGAAACAAATTAGATAATAGAGGTTATCTTACAGGCACTTTCTTTTGTGTCGCAAAAACGGCAGTATCGACACCTTTCACCGCAACAGATGTTAAACCACCTTGATTTATTGCTTTAAATGCATATTCTGTAAAATATTCATTAATTATATTCAAAAAGGTTCAAAATTGCAGGTCACGCTGTCATGATTTTCACTTAGAGATTTAATATAAGAGTTAATAGTTTAAAATATATTAATAATATTAAGCTAATTATATTTTATTATAAAATATTTTCATAAATCTTACCTACTTGGTAAAGCCGTCCTTCTGGTGAAAAAATTGTAATATGTCTATCAAAACCAGCACTACTACCTCGCGCCATATTTGCAAATAATATTAATGGTCGTATTTAAAAGTTATAGGTAACTTTTCGAAATGTCAAATCATGCAAGCTATACATTAAGGTAGTTTACATTAAATATTAAACTTATTCATTAAAAAAATCAAATTAAAATCAAATGTGTAAATCGATTTTTAAAGAATTTTTTACAATTACTTATGAATTATATTTATAATATGAATATATTTGTTTTTTATATAAAAATTTATTTGTATTTTAATTAAAAAAAAATTTTTAAATATTATTAACTAAAAATTTAAAATAATAATTAATTTTAAATAAATTTTGAAAATATTCAATTCTGTCAAAAATATTTATATTTTTAAAAGTATATATACTAATTTTAAGTATATATATTTTTTAA